AAAGTCATTCGGTCCGGCCACGAAGTTAAGTGTAACACTTAAAGAGAACAATTAATGCATTATACTGGCCTAGATATATTAAATCGTTCAATAATGAACATATAGAAATTTAAATCCGCTTAAGTCGTATGAATGATAGGTGAGATCCATTAGCACAATCTGTTTTTTTTTTTTAAATCTTAATATTCAAGTCGATAAATATGGCAAAACATTATTTAAGCCAGATATGACAACCAAGGACTAATATCATATAAGACATCGAAATGGTAACATTGATACCAAAACTCAATTAATTATTTACATAGGCCCCAGTTCACTTTTTTCTCATTTTTTTTTTTGTAATTTAAACTTACGTCTACTGTATTGCCCTTTTCCACTACTGTTATGTTATAATATAATTTCACTTATAAGGAGTCAATGTTCCTTTTTCAATGAAAATTTTTAAAATTCCTGTTTTTGACTTTTGACTGGTTGGTGTCCGGCGGGGGATAGTTTTCCACCAAAGTTTTTACTATTGTTTATTTTATTGTACTGTGCTGGTTACTTTTTGTTGTTATTGTACTATGTGTTTGCAGGACCATATTGTAAAACAGCGGTAAGATCTCGCCTGTATATGTTATCCTGCCTAAACATGTTTTAAATAAATAAAAATAAATAAATGTTTAACACGCAATATTCAACAATTTTTGGTGATGTTTAATAACATAGTTATCAACAAGCGAAGCTGCGCCGTGGAGATAATATAATGACGTTAAACAAATAAAACAATTCTTCATAGCAACGTACATATGTCCATATTCATCATCACCGCCAACATCGATGAAGGCCATCATTATTAAGCCAAAAACATGCCTGTGTTGTACAAACACAGAGACAATTTGGGGGATGGGTGTGGGTGGGTAAGAGCAGCTTTCTGAATGTATCCTCAGCATTAACATCATTATCATCGTCATCATTAACACCATCCCCTTTTTACTATCATTATCATCGTCATCGTCATTATCACCAACACTTCCATCATTACCATCGTCATTATCACTAACACATTAAAAAATAACACGATCACGAAATCACATACATTCATGTCTAGTAACTATCAAAATTAGATGTGAAGTAGGTAAAAAAAGGAGATAATGATGATGATGATGATAATGATAATAATAATAATAAAATTAATAATAATAATAATAATACGGTAATAGTAATAATAATAACAATAATAATAATAATAATAATAATAATAATACTAATAATAATAATATAATAATAATAATAATAATAATAATAATAATAATAATAATAATAATAATAATAATAATAATAATAATAATAATAATAATAATAATAAGTAGGATTTCAAAGGAGAGGATATTTTTTTGGCCTAAACAGAAGCCAATGCCGACTCTTTGAGCGGGTATATTTACCTTTGTCTACAGTAGTTGTGCGAGCATTTTAAGATTAACCTTTAATGTTATTATTTCTAATAGACTAATTAAACCGATATTGATTGCATTTAATTCCATAGAATGAAAACAGACAAGCGTTAAAAATTAGTGGATGGTACGATTTGGTAAGTTATTTACTAGGAGGTGTGGTTAGTTCAATGTTATGACGTCATGTGTAGCATTCGCAATTGATCGATTTTTTATAAACTCATTGATATGATTAGTAACCAATGGAGATTATAAGTATAATGATTATGATGATAGTGATATTACAATGTAATGCGTTAAATGCCTGCGCTACGCAACTAGATAAAAATACTGTTTCTGAGAATTTACGCCGGTGCACTGCAAGCACTTAACACATTATTACTTCGCCATACAACCTTCAAACAATACTGTAAATACCGTATTTATTTGAATAACTCGTTTATTTGAGTATAATACGTATCTATTTTACACCCCATAAAATAAACTCCTTCCCTGAATTGCTCATTTAAAAGGATAAAATAAATTATTAGCTTCCAACGAGAAACAAATAAAAATAGTTTTTACCGATTAACAGACACTTTACTACAAAAATCCTTAAATTGATTAATAGGCCTATGCAACAGAATAGAGAAAATTTATTTTTTAACTGTCAGAAAATTTACTTGGGATTTTTTTTAATTCACTTTTACACTTTTAATCTAATACTTAAATATACAAATTATGAAATTCAAATGTGGAACTAATGTTTTCAATTTGTTTTACCTCATGATGACTGATAGTAGGCCTACATCTTTAAATGTTGAATCTTTTTTCCCCTGAATTTTAATTTAATTTATTTTTTAACAGGAATGGAAAGACGAGTTTATTGAGTGGGACCCGCAAGAGTACGGCAACCTCACTAGGGTGCATATACCTAAATCTCAACTGTGGATCCCGGATATAACGTTGTACAATAAGTCAGTCTATTACCAACTTATATTTATTATTTTGCAACACATTAAACAAATACACAGGGTGTATTTAAATCGGTCATTTTATAAAATTTAAAGATCGTAACCTTAACATAGGCCTAAAGTTATTCAAATCAACTGTATAACTTTGCTGGACACTTATCTATCTACGATGTACAACTTAACTGTGCGTGATTTTTTATATATTTCTATTTAATGAAAAATGTAATTTATAAGCCAAAGTGAAACATATTCAGTTATACAATACACACAAATAATTATGTGTGCATGCAATGACCGAGCCTCGTAACTAATACGCAAGTGTCACTAAAAGATTTATGCGTTTTGAGCACACAATGGGCCTATGCCTCTAAGCCTCGCCTCTTGGATATTGTTGCCAAGGTCCCATAGTGTTCAAACATACGCGAACACGTGCGTTTGTGGTACAAACACGTGTTCGGAGTCGGGTTGGCGAAATCTGTCCGCTGTTGTCCAGAATACGGGCTTTCTCTGTCCAGAATACGGGCTGTGAAAATCTGTCCAGAATACGGACAGACAGATTTCGCCACACCTGCTGCGTGTTTGTGAGACGCGATTCCTAGCGCTATTCTGATTAGTCAGTTGTTTTTGATTGACAATCCGGAAACGTCTATTGTATGCTATGCAAGTCTTTTATATTATCATTATTACTAATAGTAATGTGTATGGGGAGCGTATTGTGTTTTGAGCCAAACAAAATTGACATTCCCTATCTCTTTACAGAAAAAAATACCCTGAGAATATATTCATTCAAATAGTTAAAATCACATCATAGCACTTCATTCAGCAAGCTAGCGCCCATCCACTTATTTATACTACGCTTTCACATCATATCAACCACCGTGTTTTGTTATTCTTTTTATTTAGTATCGATGAAGATTTTGAACGGATGAAGTCAAATATTCCGTTGATCGTAAGACATACTGGTATGGTGACTTTAGCCACGCCAACTATAATGACAAGTTTCTGTAAAATGAACATGAAATATTTTCCATTTGACGAACAAAACTGTGAACTTGAATTCGGGTGGTGGGTCTACCACGGTGGACAAGGAGACGTCAGACCAGACACCAGCCCGAAAAGTGAACAGACAGAATTTAACCCAAACGGTATATGGGAACTTAAAAATGTAAGCGTTGAATATCTTCAATTGAAGTACAACTGTTGTCCCCAATTGTATCCAAAAGTGGTCTACAGATTGCGTCTAAAGAGGCGTGAGCGGTTTTTTATCGAGGTGATACTTCTGCCATGCTGTCTTCTGTGCGTCTTGACAATGTTTGTGTTCCTGTTGCCGCCAGAGAGCGGAGAGAAAATGTCGTTCGGGGTCACTACACTGTTGTCGATTCTTCTATTCCAACAGATGATAGCCGAAGCGTTGCCACCTTCGTCCGACGGTACACCGATAATTCGTAAGTTTTTTTTTTTGTTTTTTTTCCCAAAAAATTTAAGTTTATTTTGTAACGTCATGCTTTGGCGAGTCAGTAATTATCCTTACAATGTAATAAGCCAATTGTAACTAATTTGCCGTGACCCCAAATGTCGCGTTTAGTGGAAATCAGTTATAGTAAGGACTCAGTAAGTTATGGACAAATATCGGCATCTAATACGAAAATTGCGTACAGGTAATACTAAAGTCATTATATTTCACATCGCGTAATTATTTACCAGATTTAGTTGATCAAGGCAGAAAAACGATCACCTGAGCAAAGTGTTTTATTACTGCTTAGGGTTTTAAGGGAATCATTCGCAAGATAATAACAAGGCAGGGTCTTTTCCTCTTTTGTTATGAGTTATGAGTATTATTACCTATATTATTGTCATCCAAAATGAGTAATGATTGTAATGTGCAAAAAAGCCTACGGCTACGGTCGATATTTCATTTATTGCAACTCAAAATTGTGATTGAAAAGGAGATAAATAACAATACATTATTTAAAAAATGACAATAATAATAAAATTAATAACAGCCTTGAAAGCGGAGCATGTGTCATACCAAGAAAATCACCAACACATGCATTTATTAAAAATATAATTTCTGTATTGAGCTAATTCAATTAACTGTTATTTCTGAGCTTTCAATCCATGTACGTCTCATATAGAAACTAAACGAGAAAACAAGAACAAACAACTACTGCACGGTACATATACCCTACAGCCAAAGAAGGGAAATTGCCAACACATTCCTCTTATATAAACTAATAAACTAAAATAAAAATTCAAGCACCAGACCTACTGCTAAGTTGTATTACATTCATATGTATTATTTCTGTTGTTTCTTTTAATACATTTATTGCTGATTTTTTTTTCGCTTATTTTATATATTCTTGGCAAACATGTCTAAAAATATCTACAAAATTCACTGATTATATTAAGAAAAAGATGGGTGCTAGTTCTTTTTAAAAAAAATCATACTTAGGGCCTCCATTTTGAATTTAAAAATTGGATTGAAAGTTAAAAAGCGTTTTATGTTTTTAGAGCAGTTGAGTAGTCGCCCATAATAGAGGACGGTTTATCTTGATTTATATATTCTTAAGGAAACATAAGAGGAAAAAAAGGAAAAGAAAAATATAAGGAAACATAATAAAAAGAAAATAAATTGAAAGCATAAAGGGGGGAAAAGAAGGTAAGGTGGTAATAAAATGATGATTCTTGTGTTACATTTTTCTTATGATGTCCGTGTTTGTTCGATACTAATGTTCGTTTTTCAGACACAGCGCCTAGAGCACCTATTTTGGTGGAGATTTTGCGCTTAAAATTATTATTATTATTATTATTATTATTATTATTATTATTATTATATATATATATATATATATAATATAGGCCCTATATATAAAATTATTATTATTATTACATATATATATATAATATCTGTCTCTTATACACATCTAGATGTGTATAAGAGACAGACGTGTATATCATGCATTCAAAAGAAATAGCCAAACTCAACATTTTATTTTGCACTACAGACTGTTTCATTTAGAGCCGAGCACCTGATGATTGAGGCTGTGCCCTCATGAAACAGTCTGTAGTGCAAAATATTGCACCAATTTTGTAGCCATAGGTCTACATGTATTAACGGAGCTGTTGGAATAGTGGTTGTGGGAGATCTGCGCCTAGAGGGCGGTGTTTTGAAGTTTCATGCAGGTTTCATTGTTCTATGCTGTTGATTTAAAAATAATTTCAAAGCAAAGTATTGATTTGTATCAGTGGTGTAGCAGAGGGGGGGGGGTATTTTCAAATGTTTTATGCTCTTTAAAACAACAAAGTAACAATTTATTTTGTATTGTTACCCAAATTTTACATTAAAATCCACCTAGGTGACTGCCGACCGAAAAGGATAGTATACCTAAAATCGTCACGATGATGAATAAATTTGAATGGCATAGCCCTTTTCGTAGAGTGAACAAATAAATTGGTAAACATAGGCTTTCTGTGGTATAAATTCATTATAAAACCATTTTAAACTAACCAGTTAGTTTGAATAATATCATTTAATAATCTATAGGGAGGGCCTAAGTAATGATCATGAAGCGTCAAATAAATTCAATCGGCAATTTCGAAGCAATCATTTACATGCCCTGCATAAGTGTCAAATTATGACAAATCACCTCAATCTTCTTAACTAGATATTTCCTAATAACTCTAAATCAAGAAAATTGTATGTTCACCTTTAAAATTAAGAGGTCGGAGGCTGGAAAAACATTACAAACACTCTGATAGGCCTAGATAAAATCAACTGTAATTGTAATGTTAAAGATTTTTATGATTTTATCATGATTCATATTTCATAAAATAATCCCTATCACAGAGATTTGTGATAGCGCATCGACAATAATAATGATGGTATTTGTGATAGCATAAAAACCATTAAGAAGAGGGATCCCTCTTTCAATAATGAAACTACTCAATACCTGAAATTGGCTGCACTCAGTAGCTTCTCTTTATTGTTTACTTGTTTATATTCTATCTTTATGTCCTATCTCTTTTTTTGGAGGTTTTGAAATAAATTAATTTTGTAATTAAAGTTAACATGGCATATTAAATTATTGCTTAGAAATCACTGATTACCAACTGTGTGGCAAGTCCTACTTAGCCGGCAAGTGACAAATATTTATTGTTTATTATGATTTTATCACCATCTACAATAACATAGACTATGTTGCGCACACACCGGGCACCCCAGACGTGATATTTTTTTGGTTGGTAATCGTGTCTGGGCATCTTTGTTGTATACACAAACGGTAACTTGTAGTGTTAGCCCAACATTTTGTTTTTTATCAGTCCGACTGCCCTCATTTTGTATGCACACAATGAAACGTTAAAAAGTACTACCACGATATGGGGGCGCCCCATTAGAATTCGAGAAGAGTTCGCTCGACTTTTGAAGGACACGCCCCTTCGTGGTACTTCTTTTCACATGATAAATTCAAACGAAACCGTGGGACTTGAACCTCTTGCAGTTCTATATTATTCGAAACTACCATCAACTATATTAACATTGTTTCCCCACAGAAACTGAAACGAACGTCAAGAATAAAGACGATCCTAACTGAATACGCAGATATAATAATTGATAAGATGATAATCGGTATCTAATTTAATTACATCTGAATTGCATTGTTAGACCTAACAATCGAAATCTTATATGGGCCTACATCTTATAACAATTGGAATATAATGGCGTCTGAAGCGGTCCGGCTGGTCCGGTTTTGGCCGGACCAATAATTTACAACTCAATATCATTTTTAAGCTAAATTCTACTTTCTCTGACGCAATCAAACATAACCTGCACATTCAAATTTGGAGGGGGCCGACTAGGACCTCCCTCGAACCTGCCACTTCCGAGTGGTGAAACTAGGATGGGCCCTTTTTCGAGAGTGCAGTCATCACACAGGTCACAATTAGTTTTTTAAATAATATGAAACACAGTGTATTGCAAAAATTATATAAAAATAAATTGTTCAAAATTTCTTATCAATTCCATAATTATATATAATGAGACGCTTATTCCTCAATGAATGAATAAATAAAGTGCATGAAACACGAACACGTTATATAATGCAATATGAATAACAATGACTATAGGTCTATTATATTTATATAAGTTGACTGATGTTGTGAAATACTTCTAGATACAAAAACACTTTATTGTACATTTTAAAATAAGAATTTGTTTTTCCTTTACAACAGTCTTGGTTAAGAAGGATAAAATTACATTAAAAATCACATGACAGAACAAACTTGGCAATGGCGATAAATACGTTAAGATATTAACAATTTAAAATTAGTAAAGTAGTAAAAAGTCAAAATAAAAATCACTGTTTAAAACTTACTATGTGTATCTCAGAAACAGACCAGCCATTTTAGTTAAGATTAACTATAAAAACCCAACATTTTGCTATAAAATAATGGCAGTATGCTAATTAAATAAAACATGTGTTATGTATACATAGGATACAGTATGCATGAATAAATGAAAATGCAAGAAACAGGAACAAAATTATATTACCTTATATAATGCAATATGAATAACAATGAATGTGCGCCTATTATATTTATACGAGTTGACGGATATTGTGAAATACATAGCCTATAAATAAATTAACATCTGTTATGAATACACAGGGACACAAGGTACAATATGCATGCTATGCATTATTTAGCAAACCTATTAAATGTCTTTTAAATTAAGCTAGGTGAATACGTTAGATTTTCAAATAACAGTCTGTTAGTATATAATTTTTAGTATTATTATCAGTAAAGTTTTGGTTTATTAATGGCAGGAGGACCATATGTAGGTATTCCAATCATATGGACAGATCTACCAGGTGATAAGTACTCAATAGAGCAATAAAAATCAGAAGCATCAACTTGGGCGCAGAGGGTCAATATTAGAATAAGGTACTGTACGTTTCTACAGGGGTTCTACTCAGGCCCTACAACAGTCCCGGTCGGTCAGGGTGGTAGGACAAACGCCAGGGAAAATCAGCAATTTTGATTAGATCTACCAGGTGATAAGTACTCAATAGAGCAATAAGAAAGTATAATACATACTCCAAGTATTGAAATACACGCCATCGTGTTGGGATTCAATATTTCGACATTAATTATGTCATCATCAGGAAATAGAGCAATAAAAATCAGAAGCACCAACTTGGGCGCAGAGGGTCAATATTAGAATAAGGTACTGTACGTTTCTACAGGGGTTCTACTCAGGCCCTACAACAGTCCCGGTCGGTCAGGGTGGTAGGACTGATAAGCTAAATGTTATAAAACTGTGTGAAATAATATAATGCAAAAGTAATGAAATTGCTTACATGCTCGAGGTGAAATATTCATTTCTCTGTCACACTTTTCGCATTTCCTCTCAGAGTGAAGAATGCCTAAGCCCTGTAACCAAGACATGTATGACATAATTCCATCAAAATGGTAGCGCATACCAATAATCGGCAACATGGTGATTTGAAGATACATTCAATTGATGATATTGCAGCAACGATATTTTCCGAAGAAATGATAATTTTAGGTGGAATTACCTGTTCTTATATGTGGAATAATGTTGCCAAAACAATGCGGCATTACGTTAGTTTTGTCAAACAATGCGGCATAAATTGTGATATGCCAAATAATAGGGCATTAACATCGGTATGTGTTAAAGCATTGTTTGTTTGCATCGCAGCATAGCGAACACGCAGTACTGTATTGCCTTCTTTCTATATTTACGCGCGCAACGCCCGCATCAACACCCCCCCCCCATATTGTGTTCATTTCAATTGAAATTTGTAATTATTTTACCAAACAACAATGAAAGCTCTAAGCTGTATGACCCATGGTGTTTAGACACATTTAGTGACATCATTTTATTCATAAAGAAATTCTACTTTTTGCAGATTTATAACATTTTTGCTATATTTTTTCTTGATTTACATCTTCTAGGCCTAATTGGAATATATGAAAAACTATGTTAAGTATAAATACATGTAGCTATATAGGCCCTAATTATACTTTCACAACTAATATTATGTACAGTATAGCTAATAATATAGAGGTGAAACAATACTATATTATAATTATATGGACTTTTTTTTATGATCAATATCATTAGGCCTACGTACAAATATTTTGATAAATAAGAATTTGACTGTGAAATCTTAGTTAATGATATATTTTAAAATATACAGTATGAATGTTATACTAAAAATCCCAAATGCCAATTCAATATTTTTAACTTGTATTATTTTAAACGTTTAATTTATCTCGTCTATTAATGTCGATTCGCGTCGCCGATGCATGCAACCGAAGTGATGGGACGTTGATCCAACACCTGAGATAGATCAAGCCGTTTGAAAACAAAAAATAATTAGTAGTCCTTGATAATAGCATATACTAGCATATACTATTTATTTATTTCCATTAGATGTTGTAGCTGTTGAACAACCCTAGTTTTAATAAGCTTAAACTATTGTAGGCCTATTTCTGAATAAAGTTATCGGGGAATCTTTATTTTTGACAAAATCATCAAGAACATTGCAAAATGACGACATTCCTCTATTTCGGGGCAAAATGTAAAATATAGTTTCCAAACTACTAACAAGCAAACAAGCTTAAGAAATTTAATTTAGATTCCGATTGTTAGGCCTTAAAAGTTATAGATGTTATTAAATTAAATTCCGATTGTTAGGTCATAGTTAAGATGTAATCGAATACTAGAATCTGATAATTTGGATTTAAATGTATTTATCTTATTAATTATTATCTCTCCATACACATATTCAGTTAGAATCTTCTTTATTCTTTACATTCCCCTCTTTTACTGTGGGGAAGCAATTCGTTTTATAAATAAAACAGCGTTGATTTATGGTAGTTTTCTAAGCTTGAACTGATCAAGCAAACACGTTTTACCCCGGACCTAACACCACAGGTTTCCGTTTATCTATACAGCAAACAGTTGTTATAGGAGGGATGTTTTGCCCTACCTGACGTGTTATCGTACCGAGTACTCGGTACGTTCCCAGATTCGGGTGGGAATCGTAACTCACGACCTCCAGATAAACTAACCTGGTTCCATACTATAGTATACCTGTGTTATTAGGTCCCGGGCCAAACCTGTTTGTTTGATCAGTTTAAGCATAGAAAACTACCATAAATCAACGATTCCTGATGATGACATAGTTAATGTCGAAATATTGAATCCCAACACGATAGCGTGCACTTCAATACTTGAAGTATTACTATACTATTACTATAGTAGTTTAGTTGGTGCATTTGGTGGATGTGGAACGCTGTAAAACCACTTACAAGGAAAAGTAAACTCCCGCGTTCGGTACTGTATCGCCTTGCATCTTATAGGTAATAAGAAGATGCACAGCATTATTTTATAATATATATAAACTTATTCGAGAAATTTATGTTTTGAATTTCAGAGACTTATTTCACCATGCTGATATGTATGAGCTCTGTAAGTATCGTTTGCACTGCGTTTGTGCTCAACCTTTACAACCGTGGACAGACAAGTCATGTTCCGAGATGGATTTCAAAGTTGCTTTTTGGGAAAATTGGAAACGTGCTCGGAAGATCTAAGAAGTCTAGTGCATACTTCAACAGACACATCACGCGAATGTGGAGAGACAACAGCAGAAACACTGAAGACGACATTGGTCTAACTGATGGAAATACATATGTTAATTGTATTTCCGCCAACCATCATGCACATTTAGATGAACACTTATGCGACACCGATTCAGTGGTCACACAAATCCCTTTACTTAGCACATCATCACCTGAATTGAAATTAATACTGAAGGAGCTTCAGTCGTATTCAAAAGAAAAGCAGAAAGAGAAATTGCAAAATGCAACGATGGACGATTGGCGAAGAGTGGCGATCTTTGTCGATAGGGTACTGTTTGTAATATCGTCGATTACAGTTACCATAGCAACAATCACAGTAATCGCACTTATTGAAACTTAGGATTTCGAAAATTGTGGAGCTGACTTTATCATATTTATAAAAAGAGCGTATGAGGCCGTACGCCCAGGCTTACCAGTGGATGAGCTGAAGTGTGGTTCATTTAGCACCGACGGCCGTGAGTGTGGGGAAGCCTCAACAATAATTTCATTGCTTAATGACCATCATTACCTCAGCAAACAGAACATTACTTAAGGGCTGAGTGAAAATCAAGTATATTTATGGATTCACTCGGTATAACCGCCCAGCGTTCTGTCTACTATACGTCTTACCATGGAGGAATCGTGGTCTTACTAGTATTCAGCGACGAGAACTTTCTACAATAGTGGCATGCGTAGAAAGCTCTGCTACTTGACGTAACTCTATATGATCGCCGTAGTCTGTGTAATAGTGTCATCATATTTGTAATAAAAAAAAAGAACAGTTTGCCCTACGTCACATGGACTGTCAACGGTGTATTGCCAACTACCAGCCTGTTGTTGGTTTGTTATGCTAAGGCATTTTTGTAATTTATTTATAATTTTCTTGTAGACATACATTTACTTTAAATGTTATTGATCCAAATTCGATTGTGCTTAGTTTTAAATGGGGTTATACCATGTTTGTCGCAAATAAGAAATTTAACGGTTTGATATGTTTAGTTAAGCAAAACCTCATTAACTTTTACTGTGGTAAGAGAGTTTCGATTGCACTACAACGGTAAGATCGTGGTGGTGGAATGGGCCGAAACACAATTAAGAGTAAATTAGGTTTACATTATATTCCCGGTGGCCAAAGCAGCCCCGTTTGCCCGAAACGTAGTGTGCATTGGGATTTTGGTCATTTTTCTCACTGTATATATCCTTGTATATACGTATGTATCCTTGACTGGCAGTGGGGAAAGGAGTTGTCGAGTCCCGGAGGCTCAGAGGCGCACTCGATTCGGCCCGCGGTCTACCAAGGATGCCAATACGTTCCCTCCCGGCTCGCCACGTTCTGATGTGGTCACTCACGTTTTTCACGTTTGGATCAGGGTCTGACACGTTTTTCACGTCCTGACAAGGCTTCTATGGACCCCTTGAAGCTTTGGAACATCGTTTGTACCCACGGTATAAAAAGAAGGCCTCTGAGGCAATAGCAATCATTGTATCCTTTTTTATTTGTGGCGTTTTCCCTTATGCTTCCCGCCCCACTACTGACCGCCTCCAAGTTTTGTTACGGCCTATTACGCACTGTCAGGTTTTGTTGCGTTCACCCCGTTTTATTACGGCCTACTTGGCTTCTCATCCACACCGTGGCTGCTGTGGCAAATTTGACAGTTTAAAATATGCGCCGGCATCCACGGCAATCACGGCCTGTCGTGTTTGCCCATGCCGTCCCCCCGCGTTGTCTCACGTCCATCCCGTTCGGTTCACGGTGTGGCCTAAAACGTGGCTGCCGTGGCCATCGAGTTCGAGACCGACGCTCGTCGCATTGCTTGTGTCTTTTGGGCAAGACACTTTACTTATGTGTGGCAAAGAAACTGATTGACAACATTGCACCCTTAAAATGTACTTATATAATTCATAATACCTATAAATATAAGTTCGAAAACAGTAGTTAAAACATTTACCAACTTTGTATAATTTAGAAAGATCTGGTAATTCATATCAAATAATATTTTAAACATTTTTTTATTGTAATTTGCATTACAACCAAAACTTATTGTGGAAGTTGTATTTTAGAGTAATAAACATAATTTACGCATTACATATAAATTGTTAATAAGTAATTGGATGATTTTATAAGAATAGATTGGTTATTTATAGACTAATAACTGACAATCATTTATAATCCTTATAACTTTAAGTAATTGATTTTCATTCTTGCAGCATTTCGTTTTATATACTGCTTTGCCTGTATGTTTATTATTCTGTGCCGTCTGGGCGTTTTTGACTTATTTTAATTATTTAATAAAATTTATCTTTTGTAATTACATTTTATTTTTTCAAGTTCATTTGCAAAATAACATTGGAATTTTAAATGATGGTCACTTAAATTACAAAATTACAATTACAAAACTCATAATAAATTAAATTACAAAACAAAGAAAAAAAAACACATCATCCTGGAAAATTAGAGTTGTTCGTTTTGCAGCTTGATAGCTGCAAAAATTTATTGAAAATCAGCCTTCATAGCATTGCCAGAAAGGCATTGCCGACCACTGGGATGTAATTCAAAGTACTTCGACCCACGATGGAATTCATCATTCATGATCTCAAGCGCTCTTTTGAATATTCGATCTCCAATATTTTCCAATGATCCTCGACGAGGCCCTGACAACTCTAGAAAAGGCTATATTTACCACCTTGTGTAGCCCCTTCGAACCAAATTGTGATGGAACACGTAAGAATCATACTTTCAATAACAGATTTTAAAAATAGTTTGAGAACACTTATGCGCATACCAACCAATATGACCTTAAACGGCGCTGAAAGAATAACTTTCTCTGTGCCTGTTTAGTGATGGAAATGACATTGTCATACCGTTTTAGGTCGTCCGAAATCTAGACACCAAGACATTTTAGGCTCTTAAAAGTCTCGACTGGTGTCTCTTGGATTTCAAGGGTTGTTTAATGCTTTCATATTTTTTATTTTCAATGGAAGTTGGCCAATTTCTTGTACGAGTCTAGCTCATTTATTGGTCTCTCCCCACCATTCTTGATTTTGTATTATTGTTATTGTATTCATTATTAATTAAAACAATGTTTGGGGAAAAACTGCAAGAATAAAAAATGATCAAAGTGATAAGCAAAACATTGGAGAATGTATCAAAAGGAAGGAGGATAAAATAAACCGAAATTGGTTTTCTGATTGATCCTCCATAAGCATAACGTATAATGAAATATTAATAATGTAATTGTTGCTTTACAATAATAATAATAATAATAATAAGCTCATCAATAATAACATTAAAAGCACATCAATATATATATATATATATCAATGTATATATATATATATTCATATATATAATGGAAACAATATAATATAAATCAATAAATAAATTTAAAAATAAGTAAAATAAATAAAAGCTTATAATGAGGTGATGGGAGTGATGAAACCCCCACCCCCTCCAAAAAAAAAAGTAACGGACAGGGATGAAAGAGAGGAGGAAAAGTCAAATTCCAAGAAATGTCTGTTCAATCGGAGTAAAAGTGGAGACGATTAAATTTATGGGTTATAGGCAACTAAACGAATCTTTTTAAGTACAAGTCTAAAGCTGTTAATCAAGGGTGAATTTTGATTTATCAGAAAGATAGTATAAGCAAAGAGTATAGAATTACAGGAGGTTCGACTGCCCTGATTTTGTATGCACGCAATGTAACGTTAAAAAAATACTGCCACGAGATAGAGGACGCCTTTTAGAATTCGAATAGAGTTCGCTCGAAAGTCCGAAACTCGTCTTTTAAGGACACGCCCCTTCCTGGCGTTTCTTTTTGAAACCACGAGAATCGGACCTCTTGTAGTTCTATACTCTTTGGTATAAGCCACATAAAAGCTTAACAGTAAGAAATAAGCAGATATAATATTGTCGGTGGTGGTATAGGCCTATCAATGATTATCTTTTTATGGATTTATAAGGCGCACAATTATACAGCGCCAATAAAAAAGACCAATGAAGTAAAGCAAGCAAGAGAAGTGGGTGCGAGACCAAGTACCATCAGGGTAGTGTCAGTGTGCTGTTCTTCCGCACTTTGAGGGCCAGCCGACCGACCCAACGGAAACATAATTCACAGGATCTACGCGTCAACCCATTTTCTGAACACCTGAAAAGGACCCACTTAAGAAGAAAAAATAAAATAGCCGATAAATTATGAGTAAAATGAGTCAAAGAGATGTCTTATAAAAACTCAACAGTTAATCACATTATTCGTTATTCATATGTCCAAAGGGGCTACAATGACAGACCTTTTGGCATTTATGTAGTCTCTTGGCCATCTTCCTGTAACTTGTGTGTTTCCGTTTTCCCCGATTTATTGTAAATGTTTTGTAAATGTTTTGATTGGCCAATAAATGTGACTTATCACTTGGTGATTTCAGTTGTTTTTTTAAAAAGTAAGAAATCACCTATATGTCATTCCATATGAATATTATGTATTACGATGACGAACTAAGTTGCCTGGAAACGCAAAAATGAACACTGAATAAGTCAGTGTTCATTATGCAGATTTAATATAATACTCAATGAAAGCTACGCTACTTAATTATATAGTAATGCTTCTGAATGGCCCGAAAATAAAGGTAGTTGCTAAATACAACGGGTTCAGCCAAGGGGCGTGGCTTGTATGGTGACACGTCATGTATAAATTTATACCGTCTACCTAAAAACATCGCACATACACCGTGGGACCAATGTGACGTTAGCGAGGCGTGCTGCGGCTTAGTTTGTGTATTAAGGTTTGTGCTGCTACGGCCGGGTGACTGACGATCTTGTGCCCAAAAGACGTCGAGTCCAATTCCAGACGATTGACCCAAAGTATGGACGATCGTGCCGGTCTAGGGATCTCTAAGCCTGCGCTAGGTCGGACCAGGAGGCCTCTTCAGTAGTCTGAGGCCTAGGCAAGGCATAGTCCTAGACTAGCCTGCGTTCCAGGCCCTAATTTAAGTTACTCTTTATTGAACTTAGTGCGCGCCATACCTCATTTAATTGGCGTCCCATACTCGATTTCTTTTTTTTTCCGGATTATTCCGTCTCTAAATTAACTTTCTCGTTGGTGGTGCTGTCCAAAATGAGAAAAATAATAAAAAAATAAGAGAATTGTGGCAAGTCAAGTCCTGAACTAGTGCTTCCAGCAACGCACAGCAGTCTGTCTAGCAGTGGCGGTGCCGGGGGACAATGGGGCTTAAGCCCCACCCCCATCGGACAAGTCAAGGTCCCCCAGCCGAGCTCGTCGGGCAGTCGTACCAAAAAAAAAAAATTAAATATAGGCCTACACCAAGCCAAACTATGTTTTTCATACTGCTATTCAATTTCTGGCCATCCAGATCCCTATTTTTAGAAATATCTCATCTCCCAAACCCTCCCCCTTCTCAGGCATACAAGCTCAATCCCCCTGTTGGACAGCTTAGCCCCCCACCCCAGAATATGTATCCCAGAGCAGCCACTGTCTAGGCCTTTAGGCCTATACAGAATGTGGCCCTAGGCTACTAAAGAATAGGCCTAATTGTTATTTAATACTTTATACGATACAAATTGCTATACAGACATTGGAAAGTTAATATATTTAAGTTAATAAATTTAATGTTCCCCTTCTCTTTCTGTGTAGTATAGCCGGCAATTTTGTGTGAAGCATTAGAAAGTAATAAATCTTAACTTCAGCAGTTATGTTGTAATAGAAGTTGTGATCTTTAATTTAATAGTCCCATTTTCTCTTCCGTAAGATAATTTGTTCATGAGATTAGGTTGGAAAATCCACCGCAGACTATTATAGTACAGTAGTATAGGCCATTGAATTGTTTTTATATCTTTCTGTGATTACGGCCTACCGCTAAAATAAGACTAACTAGGCTTATGTATTATTTCACTCTGTGTAGCTTAGACCCCATAAATTGATAATGTTCCAGGGATCCTAATTTTGGAAAGAAAATTACAGAGGGACAACTTATTTTTTCTTACATTGGTTGTACCATGGAGTTGCTGTGTTTTGCTATGCTATGTGATAAAAACAGACAGGGCCTATTCTATGTCGAGGACGAACTATAACTGAAAGACGAACTATAGCTGAAATTATGCATGACGTCAACATACGAAGCCACGCCCCTCGGCTGAACCCGTTGTATTTAGCAACTACCGAAAATAAACGCGGTGTTAAGGAATCAACACAGGGTAATGAATACAATTGCCCGTTGAGGGCGTAAAGCATAATAAAGTAATAATTGGATGACCTGTTTGATTCTGTTTTCATTCGTTGTTTTCACTTAAGTCTACCGAAGTTGACGTATGACTAGCTCAGTAAGGACAACACCATCAGAATTGATAACCAGATTGTAGATGAAATAAAAAAGTGCGTTTAAGCATCGATTTGTTTACGTGTCAAGATGAACATATTTTATTACAGAATAATTGTTGTTGTGTGCATTATCTTCCAGATGCCAGGTAATATTTAATGTTTTTGTCTTCAGTGTTTTTAGCTCAAAACAATCATATTAATTAACAATTTTCATCAATTTACTGACTTCTTTGTAGTTTAGAGGAGATGAATGCATATACATAGCAATTATATGGCTATTACATGTCGCTATGTAAAGTTTAACGATAACTACTTTTCAATAATTTAGTTGATAATAATAGTAATATGGTATTCTTGGCGGAGACTAAAGAAAGCAGGAGTGGGTAAAATGATTGACTTTAAATCTTACAAAAAGTCACAGGAATTTCTGACGTTTAACATCAATTTTTACAAGGTAAAAACATAATGTCAAAGTAAAGGCTCCACACCTATCCATAATCATTAGTAAGTTCTTATTACTTACTAAACTCTATCAGTGGTAAGGTTCCAGTTTGTGGGCTAACTGTATTAATGACTTTAGAAAACCTCATACATGTTCGTTCTGGAGGACGAGTCCCTTTGGGTTCACCTGACCAGGCTACATTATCAAAATTGCTTATTCGGGTTGTTTACGAGTGAGTAAATTTAGCTGCTGATAGATAGTTTGTGGTTTCCAATTAGCAATAAGTAAGCATTGCGAATCCAAAATATACGCTTCTGCTCCAGCACGATCACGCTGCGCATAACTACCTCCAATCATTATTTGAGGTAAGGTCGTGTTTAGACATCTTCCGGCTGAGAACCACTTCAGCCGCGATTCAGTTAATCCAGTTGGCGTTCCATATTATTTGGGCGTTATAGGCCTAATTCACTCGCGAACGAAGCAATAGACCTAAGCTTAGCTACGATGAATGTTTGCTTTAATGGTTGACAGTACAATTGTTATTAAAATGATTGGCACTTATCCTGCTGTATCAAATTACTCTTCGTTAAATACCCTCCGGTCCCAATGCTGCTTTACAAATCATATAATCGAACCACAGATGCTATTGAACGTAGGCCTAGGCATGACGAAATAGATTTCGAAATGAAGGGTGAACTAAGAAAGGACTAAAGCCTGATCTAAACCCGGGTAGGGTAAGTTATCCGCTTGTCCCTCTCTGTACCTACCACTGCCTACAGTACCCATTGTGCTTAAAAACATCATTCACATAAAAGGACGGTCACTTTATTTTACAATGATGATGTTTGTCTTCTGATCGTCAGACTATTACAAGGGGTCCTTGGTTTTCTCATCTACTCAACATTTTAACACACCTATCCGCAACATTTATAATATTAACTCTATGATAATACAGATAGATTATGAATTTAAAACAGAACAAGAACGACTTGACTCTTGGAAGTGAAATGGTTTATCCGCCTAAACAACCCATATTAACAAAACGACTTGGGCTTAACATGTAATGCCTTCATACGCAACCATTCACTATAAATTTTCTTCTAAATCATACTAGTACACTAAATAATCATTTCAACTTGTGGTTCCATGATTTATTTTCTATTTCTCAGTTTGATTTTATTAAATTCGTGATCAGCAAATAAACCTTCAATGATTGTATTTTTTTTTTATTATTATTTAGAATCAGCATTTATATAGTGCCTTTCACAATCCACAGATTTTACAAGCGATGGATACTGAGTTGACAGATTCGCACATTGTGCAACTTTCTCTGCTCCCTGGGGAGTATCCCTGGTCACTGCTGCTTGAACGCGCACGACCCATACATTCAATGCCATACCATCCTACCAGGTACCCATTTATACTCCTGGGTGGAGAGAGGTAAACGTAAGTAAAGTGCCTTGACCAAGGACACAAGCAATGTGACGAGCGTCCGTCTCGAATTCTCAACCTCACGATCAGAAGTCCAACACTTTACACGTTGTGCCACCCTACCTAATGCCTGTCTCTTATACACATCTAGATGTGTATAAGAGACAGTACATACATACACACTGGGGTTATTGGGGCCGTTCAACAGGCATGTAGATCTAAAAATCCTACTTAAATTTTAAAAGCATCCTTGAATAATTATATTCATTACAATTTCCCTATTACGTACTACCATACACTGCAAGTAGGATCAGCGGCGGCGCTAGGATTTCTTTATCTCATCGTCGTCCAAACTATTAAAATAAGACCTATCAAATTCAGGCCAACATTTGAAATAAACGTTTTAAAATATTATTATTTTTTTTTTTTATCCCCGACGAATCTCTTTAAACTTTTCGGACGGTATGGGGTGTCCACCGGCAATATTTTTTTTTTCCTATATGAGAATTGCCAATGAACGAATATTAAGCAGCCTGATTGGCTTTTCTACGTCACGTGACTCATCAAATTCAGCCGAGCATAGAACAATACAGTAGCGCGATTAAACAGCCCGCCTCATTGGTTCGTGATTGCACCTGAGACAACTGTATAGGCCTACGTATAGTTGTCTTAGGTTGTACGAAAAAGAGACAAGCTCCAGAGTGCGAACGAGCACTCTGGAGGAATAAAGACTGTTGTACTGATTAAATAGTCATTCTATAATCTGCGTCTACGCGCGTTTTCATGGCTTAAGCGCGACGTTGAGAATCACAGCATGCATGATAAAGACAACTTGGCAAAGTACTGTACTTAAATAGGGCTTTTGATAGTGAAATGCCAAGATTTCCATATAGGCCTTACTGTGTATTATTGTGAATACAGGTAACTTCGAAATCTCTCAAAATAACCATTGTGTGTGGGAAAACAACAGACTTGAAACGATGGTGTTGATACCTAAGCCCTACATTTAATTAACCCTGTACAACAAGCTTAACAACAAGCTTAACAACAAGCTTAATCCATACTTGCTGATGGCATACAAAGTCAAACCTTTTTGTGCGTGATACAGTACAACATCATCTGGATACATTTAAAGTTATGTCAAATCACCAACATGGCTTCTGTGTTGGCAAATCATGTTTTTTTAACAAATCTTTTGGAAACTTTTGAGGAAGTCACAGGTGCACAGACCAAGATCAACCACTTGACATAATCTACTTAGATTTCCAGAAAGCTTTCGACTCCGTTCCCCATGGCAGGCTATTAAATAAATTAAAACTTATGGTATTCAAGGGAAGCTTCTAAAATGGATCGCTGGATTTCTCACCAAGAGGAAATATTAGGTCTGTGTCAGGGATGCCGTCATCAGAAGGCGATGTTACAAGGGCTAGTGGAGTGCCACAGGGTTCCGTTATGGGTCCACTGTTATTTCTATATATATCAACGACCTACCTAATGCTGTTACGTCACATGTGAAACTTTTTGCTGATGACACCAAATTATATTCTCCAGTACCTACTTTAGACTTGCCACAAGTCTTTTTTTTTTCTCATTCTAGACAGCGCCACCAACGAGAAAGTTAATTTAGAGACGGAATAAGCCGCGCCTAATCCGAAAAAAAGAAATCGAGTATGGGACGCCAATTAAATTAGGTATGGCGCACACTAAGTTCAATAAAGAGTGAGTAACCCAAAATTAGGGCCTGGAACCCAGGCTATACCTACTTATGTAAGTGGAACTGAACTGCAAAATGATATTGATAGAATTATGGAGTGGTCAAAGACATGGTTACTATCTTTTAATAAATCAAAGTGCAAATTAATGCATCTTGGATAAAATAACCTGCTGCCTGATTATAATATGGATGGATGGCCGTTAACTATAGCTGATGAATAAAAGGATCTTGGGGTTATTATTACCAGCGACATGAAACCTAGTCTGCAATGTACAGCAGCAAGCAAGAAGACAATGAGTATCCTTGGAATAATCAAACGATCCTTCAATTATATAAATGTTAATAGTTTTCCAATTTTGTACAAAACATATGTGAGGCCACACCTTGAGTATTGCATTCAATCCTGGAATCCTATGTGGAAGAGGGAAATCATGATGTTAGAGAAAGTGCAAATGAGAGCAACCAAGTTAGTACCTGAACTAAGAAATTTTAACTATGAAGATAGACTGAAATCTCTAAATCTGTATAGCTTTGAACAACGAAGACTAAGAGGTGACTTGATTGAAACTTTCAAAATTATAAAAGGTTTTGACAAGATAGAGAGACCAGTTTTTCCATCTTCGCCAAGAAAACACAATTAGAGGACATCCCTGGAAAACGTTCAAACTAAAGTTGAACAAAGCACTTAGAGTCCGAGTCGACTTCTTTTCTGAACGAGTGATTAACTTTTGGAACGATCTGCCCTTGATAGTTGTCAGCACACCAACCATTACATTGTTTAAAAAAAGGAGTTAGATAGACATTGGTACGATAAGGGGTTCGAAATGCTCAGCCTATAAGCATATCCCTTTAACCGTAAGTGTAAGTGAAGGTGTAGGTGTCTGTGATAATAACAGCCCATCAGCAGGATGGTGTGAGAGGAAATAGCTTATCTAGGGAGATGATTGATTATCTTAGTGAATATTTTGTCTTTGAAATAAACAGCTTAATGAGGGTGGCACTTCTTGCATGCTTAGTAAGCATTGAGTATTATCAATTATTTTTGTTACATAGACTTTATTCATCCTTAAAATTTGAAAATTACTAATTACCAATTATAATTCTTTAATAATCATTGTTAATTATTATGAAACATTATGAAATAACTAATTAATAAATTTAATACCACCACTGTTCAGTAACTTTCGTCTTCTCTAGAGAAAACAGAGTTATGGTAAGTCTTTGAAGCATTTAGTTTTCTGAAAGTAGGATTTTGGAAGAGGCTTCTGCTTACAACTATCCAGTGCTACTACATAACATGGTAGTTATTCCACCTGGTGCAATTTTTTTATACCTCCTTGGTAAGGTTATATATAGTAAAAAATATTGGGCCTGGTGGGGCCCAGGCAGAGCTTACGACGTAGGCCTACGCCTATAATTACTGAACTGTATTTGTAGAATATGCCTACATTTACACAGTATATTTTACTAGGCCTAATATTAATACTCTGAAATCAAAAACTACAGTATGTTAGGCCTAATTTACACCAGGGAATCAGGTTTCGAGCCTTTCATTTATTCTAGAATGGCTCTACTTCGCACTACTCCGTGTTACAACATGTTTCATGCCTGACTGAATTTCAGGGGTCATGTGACATTGAACAGCCAATCAGGCTGCTTAATTCTTCTTCATTGGCAATTATTGTATAGGAAAAAAAATATCGCATCACCCTCTTAGCCCCCTAGCCCCCCCCCACCCGTAACGCCGCCACTGAGTAGGATGACCTTTTTTATTCTTTTAAAAAAAAAAAAAAAGCCATGAACAGCATCGTATCTGTTGAGCACATTTAAGGCTATTTTCATTTTCATTCAGGTCGTACCACGGTACAATATAATACTAAAATACTTTCTGAAAACGTGTTTCCAAAGCAATTGAAATATTGACACGCACGTTTTTGTTTAATATTTTAAAATTGGTCGAACGATATTATGCACGTTTTTTTAATCATATTTCATTAATATGTTCGATGATTGTTCTATTGTTGTCAGTATTATACCTTATCAGAGGCTCATGAAATGCCCAATAGCTCCTAAGGCATAAACGATAAAATATATGACACATTTTTTTCTAAATAACCTTGAATATTTTTTTTTTGAAAATTTTATAGATATTTCTTCGCGTTACAATGTCGTATCTGTTAAAACAAACCCCGAATGTATGAGCATTAAGAGCTTCACCTAAGTAGACTCCAAGTCTCTGTTTGTGGGTCCGATTAGGTACCTTTTAGGGCCCTGTAATTATCTTGAACTGGGGTCCGTCACCACCTCACTACGACGCTGCGTAATATCTGCATATCTCAATAATCTTGATTTAAAAACCCAA